TTATAGTATCAATACATATCTAATAGCAGTAAGAACATTAAAATCAGCTTTGTAGTTCTTGAAAAATCTTTAAAAAATGTTTTGCTGATATATAAAATTTTTTTAAAAAAAATTGATTTTTTTTAAAGAAATTTTATATATTAGCAAAATATTTTTAAAAATTTCTCAAAAGAAAAAAACTAAATTTACCTATAGGGTTTAATACTTAGTTACACAAAAATAACAAATATTTATTATAGGATTTGATACTTGGCTATTTATTTATTTTTACTTTTAGCAGTTACCAATTTATAGGGTTTGATACCTGGTTATAAAATATTTACTTGACAATACAATTTACATTATATCATGAACTTAACCCTGATCCTGGTGGTGAATTAATATTGGTTCGAGTTAATGAAGTTGACGAACATACATAGCACTGGTTATACTAATTATGCAAATAAAGTTTAAGCTTATATATCATACATTTATACCTTTATGTTTGTTACGTAGTTATTTTCACACTACTTATTGAAATTAAACAAAGGTTTTTTTTCTTGCGCTATAAATCATTCTTTGCAAAATCATTATTATAAACAAAATGAAACATCAATATTCAAAACAATTCGCTTCCTAATCATCAAAATATCAACTTTCAAGACAATTTAATTTTGAATCATGATATTGACTTTTAGGACTATCTGTTATTGGATCAAGATTCTGGCTTTTTAGATATTTTGTTTATGAATCAAGATATTGATTTTCAAGACAACCTACCGTCAGACAAGATATCAATTTTTTTGATAATTTGTTGCTAACCAACTATTCAGATAGCATGCTATTAAATCAAAATATTAATTTTACTTATAATCTACTTCCTGATCAAGATACAAACCTTTCTATTAATATGCAAGATACTAATAATCTGCTATCTGATTGAGATATAAATCTTTCCAATAACTTACTGCTGGATCGAGATACCAACTTTTCAGAAAACCTACTGTTGAATCAAGAAACTGACCTTTCTGATAATATATCTAATCAGGAGAATGAATGTGAAGAATTACCAGAAAATGAAGGTATACAAGAATCAGTAATTTATGTTGGATTGTTATTTGAAAATTGGAAACATGTAAAAAAATAGATTAATGCACTTGCTCTTCAACAAGGATTTAGTTATAAAATTAGAAGAAGCGAATCTGAAAATGGCATAATTAGATGGCTTACTTATAAATATTCCAAATCTGGAAACTACAATGCACAAACAACTGTCGATCTTATGAAGCAATATCACACATCATCTCAAAGAACAGGATGTTCTTGGTGAATTAATTTGTCATTTTCCAAATCTAGTTCTGTTATTAAAGTCACTTCTTTTCATAATAAACATAATCATTCTATAAATTCTATGATTAAAGTGATAGCACCACAATTTTGTAAATTTATTCCAGAAATGCTTGCTGATATTAAAAAATATGTTATTATAGCTCAGATGGATTCATCTTCTATATTTTCTTTACTCAGTTATAATTATCCTAAACATACAATAAATAAGCGAGATTTATATAATGCTGTATATAGATTTCATCGAGAAAATAATCCTAGTGATTCAGATGCGGCACAAATATTGCAATCATTATTACAATTCAAAGAGAATGATCCAAGATAGGTTGTCAAACCTCATATTGATGATATTTCAAGGTATTTGATATTAATTATGTGGATGTCACCTTCATAATTAGATTTGTATTTGCAATATAATGATGTAGTTATTATGGACACTACTTCTAATACAAATCGGTTTTACCTAATGTTATACATGATTATTGTTATTGATAGTAATTACAAATCATGTGTTGTAGCCGCTGCACTCCTCGAGGATAAAACTCAAGAATCTTTTAATTAGATTTTAGACATTTTATATCAGAAAACTGGTATCTATCTGAAATCTATTTTTACTGACTTGGACCCAGCTATGATAGATGCTATTAAGCAAGTCTTTCTAGAATCTATACATTTTTTATGCATATTTCATATTAATCTGAATTTGTGAAAAAAATTAAAGAGCAAGTTGGAGCAACAGTTCGAGAATTTTCACAAACAATTTTATATATATCACAATAGTCTTTCCAAAACATTGTTTAAAATCTGGTAGTCATTATTAATTAAGGATTTTCCCTGCATTGAGAAATATATGACTGAAGTTTTATATAATAATAAGGAATCCTGGGCAATAGCATAGGTTAGTAGGTGTTTTACAGTAGGAGTACAAAGTACTTAGCGAATAGAGTCGATCAACAAACTTGTTCACAGTAAAGTAGACTGTGCAATGTCATTAAATGATTTATTGTATACAATTAATAATCAAGTTAATAATAAAGAATTATTTGAAAATTTTGAAGTTCAAAGAAATTCTATACCGAAAACTGGTTTGCCTACAATTTTTACACAATTTTTTATTCAAGTGGATAATATTATTAAAGCTTATCTTAATCCGATTATTCTCGGAAAACAGAAGAGTCAGATGAACGAATCATTGTATTATAATATTTTCCTTATTACGGAATGGCATAATATTTTATTAGAACATGAACGTAGTAACAATAATAAGAAATTAGATACAAAACATAGAGAAATAGAATATGATACTTTTCAGATTCTTTTTAGTTCTTTAATTAAAAATCTGTCTAATAAGCAAATAATTCAAGTATGGTGTATTAGACGAACTGGAAGTTCAGGTATCAAAAATTATTTTATATTACTCAAAGATGGTATATATCTATGTACATGTATGATGTTAATTAACAAAGGAATTATTTGTCGCTATTTTTTTCATGTTAGAACTTATTCAAGCTCAGCAATATTTCATATCAACTTTATTCCTTCACGTTGGTATAAAAATCTAAATATTTCTGAAAGTGGTCTTCTTGATCAAATTAAGCCTATTCAACTTTCAAATTCTACAGATAACACAGCTACTATATCAATTCAACAAGTTACATTTAATCATTTGTTGTTAACAAGGAATCATGAATCTTATAATCATGAATTGGAAAGGCCTAAAGTTTTGTATATACGATTATCTAGATTTTTAAAGAAGGTCATCGATTTAGCAATCAAAAATAATATGTGTGGAGACCTTGACACACTTTTAAAAGACTTTATTACAGATGTTAAATTGAAAATAGAATTGCATGAGCCTGAAACTTCGACGAATATAGTGATAAATAATTCTATAGTAATAAGGCATAAAGGAAAGCTGGCAAAAAGATATAAATCTTGTGTTAAAATAGAACAGTTCAGGGTATCTAAAACATTGTATAAACGAACAAATGAACAAACAAATAAAGAAAGTCAAAAAATTACACATAGTTGAAAGTGTAGCAAATGCAAAAAAACAGGTCATTATGCTAAAATATGCCCAAATTAATTTAGAAAGTTATGATATTTATGTTTGCATATTTTTTGTTGAGTGATTATGTTAGAATGAGAGTAATATGATGAACTGTTGTAATTCACAATACTATTTTTGAGTTCAAATATTACTTTGAAGAATAGCAATAGTGAAACTATATTAACCTAGATTATTAGAGTGATTATATTTAAAGACATAAGCTTTAATTCAAAAGTGAATAATATAGTTCATTAATATGTATTGTTACAAATAGATATTAAGGCGTATAATATTCTTTGACAGGTACTGAAGGACAATTATTTGAAATTGTAATAGTAAGTGGTAGAAGTAATTATTTCTAAATTTGATATCAAAAAAATTATAACTAAAAAATATATTGCTTTAAAATCTTCAACATCGGAGGAATCTATTCTAGAAATACTACTACTTTTATATTTTTTCAGAAAAGCAGAAAACTTTACAATAAAATATAATACATATCATGGTAAGATTCACTGTTGTATTTAATTGAATTCTTCTATGATTTTTTTACATATTTATCACAAAATAACTTCTATTCAAATACATATACACTACATATTTTATGTTATTTTTGGACAACCCAAATTTTTAATGCAAATGTATTATTCAATTCAATATGCAATAATTAATTCGATCCCTAATGTTAATAACTTAAATCAAGTAAACTTTTATATTTTATTATTTTTGATTGTTACATTATCTTGAATAATTTTAACGATTGATTCAAATCTGTATTTTTTATCTAATGGTATTTATATGATATGTTGTATGTATGTATTTTTTTTTTTTTTTTGAATATTAATGATAAGACCATGTCTCTGACTTTATTAAAATTTAATTTAATTCTTCTACAATGAAAAGAAAATTCTTATAAAGAAAAGAATCTATTTAAATTTTATATCCTAAGATAGTAAGAAAAGAAACTCAGACTAATTTATCTGTGGCCTAAACCAATGTATATATTTTATGCATTATTCAGTTTACAAATAATGGTAAGCTTTTCATACTTTGCTATATTGGGTTATATTACAAATCTTAATTTTTAAGCTTGTATCATTTTTAAACAATATGCATTCCTTGTACCATATCAGAAGACATTAACGTAAATATCTCTTGTATTATCTATCATAATACATATCGAATTTCAATTTATATAAGTAATGCTATAATGGTCCATTTCTATGCAAGTACGTATGTATATACGTATGTATATATAGAAATTAACTTATTGAGTATTTAAGTATGTTATAAATTGTATGTATTCTAATTATATAGTATATATATTTTGAGTAAATAAATAAATCTATAAATTATATATAATAATTGTTATGTTATCAATTAGCCAATCATATAACATCATTAATCACGTGATAGGGTGGGTATATACCCACTAGATACAAATAGAAATTCTCTTCTCAAAAACTACAAGGCCAATTTTAATATTCTTACTATTATTAAATATATTTTTATGAGCTTTATAACTTTTGTTAGAAGTCTAAGAGTAATTTACTTAGTAAAAAAAGTTTTAAATTAGAGCGCTCCATATTTGGCTCAATAGTAAAATTTATTTATAAAAATTTGCAGATCTTTTTCAGATGAGAAATAGATTGTTTATTAAAAGAAAATGAAAATCTTGACAATACTCAAAGCAAAAATCTAAAAAGAAATATAATAAACTAGATTATAGAAAATTTTTTTTTTCGGTATTAAGGTGAGGTCTTGCCTCGTATTTTTATTAGATGTATCAAGTATTTGCTTTATATAGCTACATATAATCTTAAAAATACTGGCTTAGACAATTTATCTATGATCTAAACCTACCAGAATATGCTATATTCTCACTATGTATTGGGTTATACCTAAATTTGGTGTTCAAACTATATCTAGTTACTCACCGTATTCACCCCATGTCTCACTATCAAACCTTGATAATTTCCAAATTGGTTCATTCGAGTAATCGGTCCTTAATGGCCTTCCAATTTGGTGTGCCTGTTATTCGAAATATTTTTTAAACTGGTATACTCTTTCTAATAGGTGGCCTCTTGTCTACATTTCTCAAGCCAGGTACCTGCTGCTACCACTAGTCCCACATAAGAAGCATTAGTATCACATATTAGAAAGGGAACTTATCATGGGTTTGCACTGCTCAGTTTCTGCCGACTTGCATTCTTTCATACAACTTATGTTACATGAATACCCCAAACCTTCTACTTGTATCCTAGATAGTGATTTGAACCAAGTTACAAATTGTTAATTGGTTAACCGACCCGGACTTAACCGGGTACAACCGGCGTAACCAAAAGTGTTTTGGTTAGTTCGGTTGATTTGGGTCAACCGGATTATTCAGGTCAACCAAGTTAACTAGATCAACTAAGTAAACTAAGTTATTCAGTAAACTGTGTTTTAACTAAATTAGCTAAGTTAATAGACCCACCTAGCATCAATTATACTTGTTGGCCAAACCCGGACAAATCCCAAACCCTTAAAAAATAATTGCTATTTATAAAAAATTAAATTAAACAAATAATTCTAAAATTTTACAAATATATTATCTATAACTATAAGAATATATTTGATTTATTTAAACAAAGATTATTAATAAAATTTTTGAGCTATGAGTTTGGCCAGACCCTTTAGGTTTGTTCACTTTAAGTTTACTTAGAGTGGACAAACTCAAAGAGTCTGGTCAAACTTATAGCTCAAAAATTTTATTAATAATCTTTGTTTAAATAAATCAAATATATTCTTATAGCTATAGATAATATATTTGTAAAATTTTAGAATTATTTGTTTAATTTAATTTTTTATAAATAGCAATTATTTTTTAGGAGTTTGGGATTTGTCCAGGTTTGGCCGGCAAGTATAGCATCAATTAAAACATAAAACGCAGTAAAGGTTTTTTAAAAAAAGGACGTAAAAGAATTGATCCTAAAACAAGAGATCTTACTACTACTAGAATCTCTGGGTCTGGTTAGGTTGATTTTTATTAGTAATTATCGCGGCTGATGCTAAAATTTGGTATCATGATTTAAAAATATAAGCATTACTAAAATCCACATATCCTCTTTAATTATCAAATTAAATCCTAAATATTAACTCAACTATAAAAAAAATAAAGCAAAAATACTTAAATTTTCATATTAAAATAGGTTCAAATTTTAGCATCAGCCAATTTCATCATCAGCCGCAACAATGGTTTTTATACAATTAGAAACGTTTTATTATTGTTCTTT